TTTAAAAGGGATTGGATTTTGGGAGGGCCAGAGACAGGAAGGTGTCAAAGATGATTGAGGTTAACAGACTGGGTCACTCAAAGGATGGTGGTAACATTAAAAGGCATGGGAATTTGGAAGGAGGGGCGTGTTTTAGAGGGAACAGGATGAATTCACTTTGGGACATAAAGATTTGGATAATTCTAGACATAATAAATGCATGTTGAATTGAAATTGTTGGACTTGTTGAAGTCTAGATGACTACAGGTCATCCCCAGGTGGAGATATCTAGCGTGGGATAGGAACTCGGGGGGGGGGGGCCTGGATAACAGAGATATTTGAAGCCATGGCAGTAAAGGAGATCACTAAGTATAGAAGGAAGGGACGGGAATAAGCATTAATGAAATAATTAATTAGTATGTGCCAGACGTGCCAAGTCCTTTACAAATACCATCTCATTTAATCTTCATAACAACCCTGTGAGGTAGGTGCTAATATTATCCCCATTTAATAGTTGAGGAAACTGAGGCATCTCAGGAAACTGAGGGATCTCGTCAGTAATGACTCTGTCATTCTGTTAGATGCAAAGAGAGTCCATCTGAAGATGGTTCATGCTAGCCTTCCGTGCCCTAGGTTCAGGTACCAGAACTTGAAAGCATTTGATGCTTCAGAAACTGGACTTGAAATCTGCTGGTCTGTTCTCAACACAAATACAGTAAAATCTTGATTAACTAGAACCTAGCTAATTGGAGCCCTCAGTCAAGCAAAAATTATCTATGCCTTAACTTACTCAATTGAGAAGAAAAAAGTTATTTAAGTATTTTAAATAGACAAATGAATGACTTTCAGGGGCTAACCTGGGGTTTTAACAAAAGCGACCTCATCAACCCCATCCGCTTTATATCTTAAAGCTATTTTTACAATAAAAATTGATGTGAATTGTGACCTGGAGAAATGGGAATATCCTGAATTATTAGAGAAAGATTAAATACTGAGAAAAACCAGAACCAGAAGCCAAAAGGCCTGGGTTTTAGTCCCAGATCCTATACTGTCTAGCCGTGAGGCCATGGACAGATCACAAAATTTTATCATAAAATCATAAATCTTTGTACCTCAGTTTCCCCATATCTAAAATGAGAAAAATAATGCTTGCAGTACCTATGTTGCAGTATGGTTATGAGAAAAGCACTTCAGAAATTATAAACCTATGAATATAAGTAATTATTAAATTTCAATATTATATTTAATAAGGCAGAAAGAGGATGGGAATAAGTACTTATATAGTGCCTACTAGGTACCAGGTACTGTGCCATGTGATTTACGAATATCACAATAATCCTGAGAGGTGGGTGTTGTTATTTTCCCCACTTCACGGTTGAGGAAACTGAGGCATATACAGTGGTCAAAGGACTTGCCCAGGGTTACATAGTAAGTGTCTGAGGCTAAATTTGAACTCATTTCCCTGACTCCAGAGCCAGCACTCTAACCTAGCTTCCCCTTTAGACTTTCAATAGGAAAAGCTAAGACAAAAAGAAACTTTCTGGTTAACCGTCATTTAACCAGAAATTCAAATAACATCTATTCACCCGCTGAGCATTCTGGACTGGAACTGAGGTTTTTGTTATATTTGCGAATTCTATTGGTGGCTGTCATTGTAAAGCCTCACCAGACACTCATTGTTACTCTGGTTCGCTTTTCAATAGCTGATCCTAAATGTGATGGGGCACATGCATGTTTTTGATGACTGGGTCAGAATGGGTTTTTAGAATCAGCCACGGTCTCAATGAGGAAAAAAGGAGAAGTTTTCATTGATGGCACATCTGAAAGACCAGCTGACAGCATCAATGGCATAATGAAAACACATGCATCTTTGGAAGCACGGGGTGGTGGGGAGACACAGAGACAGAAAGAGGGAATATCCTCAAATGCATAAGCAGCTACTGATTCCTCTGGGGGACAGGCCAAGGTAGCAACTTGGGTAGCTAGGTGGCAGTGGACAGAGTGCTGTGCCTGGAGGCTGGAAAGCTCATCTTCCTGAGTTCCAATCTGGCCTTAGACACTTACTAGCTATGTGACCCTGGGCAAGTCACTTAGCCTTGTTTGCTTCAATTTCGTCATTTGTAAAATGAGTTGGAGAAGGAAATGGCAAACCACTCCAGTATCTCTGCCAAGAAAACCCAAAATGGGGCCTTGAAGAGTTGGATGTGACTGAAAAAAATGCCTTAACAACAAGGTAGCAACTCATCAGATAAGAAGCCCTTACAGGAAGAAGAAATGCTGCCAGAAGCAAATCAGTAGCCCTTTATTTTGATGAAAAGAATTAGTTGTCTTTTAATAGACACTCTGAATAGGTGCAACTTTAATTTGAAAGACTTAATGTGCTGTAGACCCAATCTTGACTCAAATAACGTTTTCTCCAGGAAGTTTTACCTAATTTACCTCTCCATGGCCATAAAGACCTTGTTCTACTTGGATTTCACATGGTATTTGGCTTGCACCTCTCTTGTGTACACGACATTTATTATTTTGTGTTACAATAATTTCTGCATGCTTCATGATTTCCTAGTAGATCATGAGTAGTAAGATCATTTAGAGTAGTAATGAGGGCAGGAACCATGTTTTATCTAAATTTTGTATCTTTCTTAGGGCTTAGTATGGCAGGGTAGATGCTATCTCCATTCTGTAGGTGCTTAATGAATATCCATTTTAATTTAATTGTTGGATGATGTTTTGCAAAGAATTCTGAGTAATTTAAATTAATTTAATTTAAATGGCCTAAATTAAGAAAGATGAATATGCTATACTTTTTATTCTTTCCAATTTCAAAGATTTTTCAGACTTTGTTCTCCTTCTGTTCACCGTTTTTGATCCTCTTTGGAAACTGTGATCCTGTTGGCACATACATAACTAGGTTAGTGATAGATCACTGCAAACCAGAGGCTATAGCAATGTTTTTTTTCTCCAGGACTTTGCACTGGGCCCATCGATGTTTTCAATAGTGACTTGCCTGATTTGGAGAAAAAAAATTACTTGTTAAGTTGGCAGATGACCCCAAGCTAGATATAGCTGAATGCTGACTCTGGAGGTCAGGATTAGAATTCAGCACTTGTAATTGAGATTTTCTGATGTAGATTATATGTGGGTCCTCAGTTTATTCCAGAGTTAAGTTCTTTGCCCTGTAGTATGCTATCAAATGTGTCTCTTGCCATGTGGTCTCGAGGGTAGGTACCATCTTATTGCTTTCTAGTCATTCAGTTAAATTGGATCTATGTACCTCTACATAAATTGTGTTGTCTTCACCACCAAGAAACAGACTATCTTTTTTCTGTTCCAAAACCAATCAATCAAGCACTTGACAAGCATTTATTAAGCCCCTACTATTTGCCAGGCATTGGGTCAGGTGCTGAGGATTCAAATATAATTAATAAACCAATTCCTACACTCAAAGAAATTACATTCTAATGGGGGATACAGCAAGTACATAATCTGATTTTTTTTCTTTCAATTGTTCATCAAATTCATGTTTCCATGTGAGGAGGAACATTTTCAGACTGACTGCTCTACCTTGATCCCAATGAATGCTCAGTCCTTCTTTTCATGCCCATTGGCTCAGTCTGCTAACTCCTGTAGCTGATTCAGACTGCAGGAGTAGTTTTCCTAATTATCTTATTACATTTTCATATTTATAAAACTTTAAATATACAATTGAAGTACTGTAGACATAAATCTCATCAAAAGAAGAGGGAATATTAGAATCGTTTAAAATAGGGGTAAATATGAGTAAGGACCTGAGGAGTTTTCTAAGAAATAAAATGTATGAGCTTTAGTTACATTAATTTTGGCTTTTGAGAGCACTTTTATGTTGAACCAGTCAATCAGCTAACACTTATTAAGCTCCTTTTATGGACCAGACATTGTGCTAATAGGTCTCAGAGTTGATTTGGGTCCCAGGGGAGAAAAGCCTATGAATGTGAACAGTTTCCCTCAACCCTCATTGTGATTCTCTAATAGTTGCCCTGGAATAGACACATGGAAATGAGATGTATTCTCACTTACAACCCAAGAGGAGAATTCCTAAGTTGTGGAATCTTGACTTTTGGAAAGGAAAAGAGGGCATTCCTGGGCAGAACCAGCCTTGGGGTTGCAAGCACAACTTCCAGAGTTTGGGCACCCAGCCTTCTAGAATTTGTTTTTCTTTCAGGGAAAGTTCAAGTCTTCAGGGTAATATCAAATGATGGGAAGCCTATATGCAAGAATGTGTTAGTAAATGTTTAATAACTGGCTTTCCAGAAAAAATGTTCCTGTGACATACTTTTAAATTTAATTTTCATTGTTACATTTTCTCCATCGCATTTCAAAGTCTAGATGATTAACAAAACAATAAATCAATTTCTGATTTGTAGTATTTGCCAATTTCTGAGGTGTAAATGTTCCCACTGAAAATTTAACAGTCTGCTCTATTAAGCCAGTACAAATGAGACTTGCTATAATTTTTGGTAGCTATTTCTCTAGCAGCCCCAAATTTCTGTTACCATTGAATCTGGAGATCCTGGCTAGAAATGAGGGATTCAATGGAGTGGGAAGAAAATTGTGTTGATTGTTTATGAGTTATTGTGGGTATTTTCTGAGGGTGAAATAAAGGCCATACAATCTACTCTCCATGAATTCTATTTCTTAGGCTGAAAGATTAAGCCACTCTCTCTCTGTGGCTGGGGCCAAGAAATTTTGGGTTCAGGCATTCACCTCTTGTGCTGTATAGGTGAGGACACATACAGCTCCCATGTACCTGTGCCCCACAGTAACGAGCACTCTTTGTATCCTTCAAAGTACAGCTCAAGAACCTTCATAAAGTTGTTTCTGATTCTCTTAGTTATTAGCACTCTCTCCTTTGTTAAGTTAATTTGAATGTACCCAATAGTACATGTTGCATCCCTCCATTAGAATGTAAGCTTCTTGAGGATTTCCTTCATCTCCTGAGTTGGGGAGACCAATGTGAAACTTTTCCCTTTTTCACATTTCAGGAAGCAGATGAAGCCTTGTTGCATAATCTGGAGCTTCAGATTGAATCCCAGTTTCTGCAGGATGACATCAGTGCAGCAAAGGACAGGTACAAGAAGGTAACTATGAACCATTTCCCCAAACTTTCTCCCATGTCTTAGTCAGTCAGATAAGTCTAAATAAATTTCAAAGGGACTGAAAACTTGAGGCCTTAGTTACCTTACGTTTTGTCTATCAAAATCGATGTGGTCAGCTGGTTGCTTAACAACACTCATTGATTATTTTCTGTGAAGGGGGATGGGCTCCATACTATGTGATCTAGTCACTGGGATAAGGAGTTATTATCAGTTGATGGTCGTCAGCTATTCAAATTAACCAATTGTGGTTACTGAATCTAGGTTTTAATGAAATCTATCTTGAGGCCAAACTGGTTAAGGAAATAATGAATGTCAGTAGATCTTTTTCATACGGTGGTGATGGATTGACCTGAATGCTGGAGGCTACTGCCATATTTCCCCGCCCCTTCATCATTTAATTGGCTTTGCTATGCTTATTCGTCAAATCATTCTGTACTCTTTACATGGAAAGTGAGCCTGAAGATAGTTTGCTATCCTTGTGTTTTTCATTCTGTTTTCCCGCTTTGTTCATTCCCTCAACCCATCCTTAGATGCTTCATTTCTTCTCCATATTTGCTCCTAGCTTTGGTCCCTTGGGAAATTGTAGTGGGTAGGATGTTGGGTGGTCCAGAAGTGGCCCACAGCTACTTTTAGGAGTTGGATGGGAAGAACATCTGCATCAGGAAGGGCATTCTTTGCCCCTCTCACCCTCAGATCTTAGGTGGATGGTTCCTTTTTCCTCCACATGCCTCCTGTATTTGCTCATTGAGTTGGGTGATTCACAAGATTGGATGGGCTACTGTGGATGGTATTTGGGTACCTCTCTAATAAGCATGCCTGGCAGCCTATACTTTTGTTGCACATTCACTAGGTCCTACTTTTTCCATGTAGTAGCATCCCAGAATGACCAGTCTCTTCCTTGATAAAGATCGCAGGGTAGATTTAGAGATCTTAGAGGCCATATAGTCCAACACCTTCATTTTACACATCAGGAAACTGGGGCCCCAAGTGACTTGTCCAAGGTCAAAAAATAATAAATGACAGAGGTAGGATTTGAACCCAGATCCATTGTTCTTTCCATTTGTACCATACAACTTCCATTATCATTCCTAAAGAGTCCTAGAACCATTAGAACTTGTCTAAATTGACAATGAAGCCTGACTCTCTTATAATCAACTCTAATTTTCTGTGCCAGTAAAGGAAAACAGTGGCACAGACAACCCAAAAAGCCAATAACCCACAATTAGACTTTGGAATGAAATATATACATACATATATACACAAACACACACACACACACACACACACACACACACACACACATATATATATATATATATATATATGTTAGGGTAGGGTGCAACAAATGAACTTTTATGGGTATATGTTACTTAGGTCAATATTATAACTAGTTTGAATTTCCTGAGCATCAGGAAGCCGGAAGTATCCTATTCATTTGGAAAAAAATGACCTGAGATTAGAAACTTTCCATTCCTAATCTTTAAAGGCGAGGAGAGAAATCAGAATAATCTAAATTCAGAGAAATGAGAATGAACAGACCTATGACTTTACAGAAAATCTAAACTTTGAGGCATCAACAGCAGCAGAAAATACTCTCACCATCAAATTAAGAGATTTGCGGTCTCCCCACCCCATTACCTAGCATACTGTTAGAAGGAAAACCTTAGCCTTGCAAAGTTTCAGTGGAAATACTTCTATTCCTCCAACAGAATCTCTTGGAAATTCAGACCTATGTCAGTGTCCTCCAGCAGATCATACAGAACACTCCTCCAGTGTCCACAATTACCATCGGCGTTAATGAGGTAAGAACCGGGGGTGGAGGTTAGTGATGCAGCTGCCAGAAAGGCAAGGATTCTGAGAGTGGAAGGGTGATTGGCAAATGTCCAGGGTGGCATTTTTACATCCTGAGGTGGGGCCTTCCCTACCACCTGGTCTCTCATGTGAAATTAGGCCTTTCTGATGATTTCCTCATGATATCTTTAAGAGTGGAGCAGTACGAGTATTAGTCTTTAGATATCTAGAGTAGAAGAATTTAGAGATTGATTTCATCTATTCCCTTCTTTTTATATATGATAAAACTGATGCTCAAAGACGTTGAGTTATCCAAAGTTGCCCAAGTAGTGTGTGGTGAAGGTTGGATTTGAACTCAGGTCTTCTGATTCCGAGGCCACTGCTTCATCGTGTTGCCTCTCTTCTTCTGACTATATACATAGTCACGAGCCATCCTTTAAACTGATGACACCCAAATGCCCAGGAGACCTGGGAGACCCCACCACAGGGTGGGGACTACGTGGGCCACATGTTGCCCATAGTGAAGCGGTTTACCATTCCCTTCTCCAGCTTATTTTACAGATGAGGAAACTGAGGCAAACAGGGTTAAGTGACTTGTCCAGAGTCACACAGCTAGTAAGTGTCTGAAGCTGGATTTGAACCCAGGTCTTCCTGACTCTGGGCCCTGCACTCTATCCATTGCGCCACCCAGCTGCTCATACCCATAGCCTTGCTGCTTCTACATGATGAGTTACTTTTTTCTCTCTGATCAGCCCTAATTTCAGAATAGCAGTTTCACTTTTGGTTTTCCCTATTTTATGAGAGCAAATAGCAAGAAAATGCTTATTTGTAAGGGATAACTAGGTAGTATAATGGCCAGAGCACTAGAACTGGAGTCAGGAAGACCTGAGTTCAAATCTGGCCTCAGATACTATCTGTGTGACCCTGGGCAAGTCACTCAATTTATGATAGATAGCTAGGTTTTGTGCTTCTTTCTCCACAGACTAGGCTTCTTTTTCCATTTGGGCCTTTTACTGTGCTACCATCCCATCTGCTTCTCCCTCTTTTATTCCTTTCCTTCTAGGCCTAATGGGAGAGAAGTACTTCAGTGAGGGCCCTGATTCCTTCTCTGCCCCTCTTCACCCACCCTTTCAAGAGTATGACTTGAGGACCAGAAGGAGTTTCTTTGCTTAAAGGAAGGGAGAGTTAAGGATTTTCTGGGTCCCAAGTGCCATGACAAATTCAACTTGTAATACACTCTTAATAAGAATTAGATAACTAGACCTGGCATTTAGAAAACCCTTTGTCCTCAAGTGCTCTGTGTCTGCATCTTGGGTTCCCCTGCCTTTCTTGGGAGAGATTAACCCTTTTCTGAAAAATGGTAACAATAATAGAAATTGCCTCCCAGCGTAGTTGTGAGGATCAAATGAGATGTTTTTAAAGTGCTTTGCAAATCTTAAAGCTTTCTATGAATGCTAGCTGTTATTATTACTACTGCTGCTGCTACTACTACTACTACTACTACTACTACTACTACTACTACTACTACTACTACTACTACTACTACTGCTACTACTTTCTGTACCAATTCAGAAAGTAACTCTTCAGCAAGATACTTTTAAGTACTTTGCTTCAGTCATAATTAGACTTCCTTTGGTTTAGAGGAGCTGTTGGAAAGAAATGCATTTAGGGAAAAGGTAATGGGATCTGATTTAGATAGTTTGAATTTGAGATGCCTACAGGATATCTCACTGAAAATTTCTAGTGGAGGTGGTGGGAATGTAGCCTGGAATTCAGGAGGGAAGGCTGGTTATGTAAACATGGGAGTTGTATTCCACCCACTGCACCACCTAGCTGCCCCAATACTTTTTTTCTTTTTTAAAAATATTTTATAGATATCTTTTGTCTTTGTATTTTTGAGATTTCCAAATAAACCTCCATGTCTCCTCCCAAAGAGCCATTGCTTACAACAAAGATTTTTTTAACAAAAGAAAAAAAAAAGGAAGAGGAGAAAGAAATTCAGCAAAACTGATCAACATGTTGAAAAAAAAATCTGATGTTATTTGTAATGTTCAACTTCTGTGGACCTCTCCTCTGCCAAGGTGGTGGTGGGGACATGTCTTACCACCCTTTTTTTTTGGAGTTAAGATTTTTCTTTATATCTTCACAACAGTTTTGATGGTTTTGTGGCATTATGAATATTGTTTTCCTCAGTCTGCTCACTTTATTTTGCATAAGTTCATGTAAATACTTTTGTACTTCTTTGTATTGATTGTATTTGCTATTTCTTAATATTCCATTAGGGCAGCTAGGTGGTGCAGCAGATAGAGTGCTGGGCCTGGAGTCAGAAAGACCAGAGTTCAAATCCAGCCTCAGACACTTATTAGACATATGACTCTGTGCAAGTCACTATTTGCCTCAGTTGCCTCATCTGTAAAATGAGCTGGAAAAGGAAATGGCAAACCACTCCAGTATTTTTGCCAAGAAAACTCCAAATGGGGTCACAAAGAGTTGGACACAACTGAAAACAACTTAACAAAAACAATATTCCGTTACATTTAAATTCCACAATTGTTTAGCTATTCCCCAACTGACTAGTATCAACTTTGTTTTTGGTTCTTTGCTACCACAAAAAAAGTGCTGCTATAAATATTTTAGTGTAAATGGAGGCTTTCTTTTTGTCAATGACCATCTTAGTGTATATATCTAACAGTGGAATCTCCCAAAGAGTGAGGACTTTTTGGTTACCTTATTTGTGTAATCACAAATTGCTTTTCGAAACAGTTATACTTATTCACAACTCCACCAATAATCCATGAGTGTGCCTATTTCTGTAACCCCTCTAATATTGATTCTTCTTTTCTTTTGCCATTTTTGTCCATTTGCTGGATGTGAGGTGAAACTACAGAATTTTTTAACTTTAATTTCTTTTATAAGTGATTTAGAGCATTGTTCCATATGGATTTTGATAGTATGCCATTTTTCCTTTGAGAACTATTTTTTTATATCCTTTGACAACTTCTCCATTGGGGCAGTAATACTGTCTTAACAATCCTTGCTGCTTCCTTTCCCCTTCTATCAGATCAGTTTCTTGTAAACAAGCTGAACTCTTCCATTATCAGATACGAGTCTTAGGTCTTATCCCATCAAACCTCTGTGACAACCGTGAGATTATAGTCATCTCCTTGTGCTGAAATGACATTTTAACTTTGTTTCCCACATTCTGTACCTTAGGATATTCATATCTGAGGTCAGAATATGGTTTGTAACCTTCTTCCCAGTTCCCTTTGTTTAGGCAGTTAGATGGTGCTGTGGATAGCGTGGATAGCACCCCGGACTCAGAGTCAGGAAGATGTGAGTTCAAATCTAGTACTAGCTACTTTTTAGTTGAATAATCCTGGGCAAGTCACTTAATCTCTGTCCACCTTAACAAACAGAAATCCACCTCTCTATAATCTTCATTCATTGCTCCTAGTTCTATCCTGTGAGGATAAGCAAAACAAATCTAATTCTGCTCCCACTCAACAATCCTTCAGCTATTGGAAGACAACCACCATGTTCTTCCATAGGTCTTTTCTTCTCTGTGTGAGACAATCCCGATATTGGAACTATTACAAATACTCAAATTAACTTACAAAGGACCTATGAAGGAAGACACTATCTGCATCCAGAGAAAGAACTAATAAATAGAAGTATATACAGAATAATTTTACATATATATGCACTTATTTGTGTCTAATGATAGCCATCTCTAGGGTGGAGGGCGTGGAGAGGGAAGGAAAAAAGCAAAAAAAAAAAAAGAAATTTACATGATAACTTTATTATAAATTTAAAAGGAATAGCAAATTGTACTTAACAGATTTGCAATTTCATGTGCAATCATCTTTTTTATTATACTATGTTATGGAAATGCTTGCTTTATTCCACAAATTAAAAATAAAACAAATTAAAAAAAAAACAACAACCTTGAGATTGCCTAGGAAAGTAAAAGAAATGTGCCTGGGAAATAACAAGAAGACATAGTTGTTGGCAATTGACAATTACCCCCCCCCCCAGCTATTTAGAATCATTGCTGCTGGTAAGATAAGATATGGTAGGGTAGATATAGAAATATAGTTGTCAAAAATTTTTTTAAAAGTTCACAGATCCTAGACTAAACACCCCTGGTCTAGAGTAAGTAAGGAGGAATCTATCTGGGAATATGAAGGTAAATATTTAAAAACAAACTCTCTGAAAAAAAAAACCCACCCAAAAAAACAACAAATCCAGAACATGTGCATGACTCAGTTTGCCCTGATTTGTATTTTTTGCCAATTTCTGAGGTGTAAATGCTTATACTGAAAATTTAACAGTTAGCTCTTAAGAACTGGTATGAGCTGGCTCCAGTATACTACTGAGTGTATCCTATGCATTTAGACCCTGTGTATGGGGGTGAGAATGAGAGGAAGTGTTTAAGAGCCTGGAGCCCCATTGAGGTTATATATTTTAGAAAAATAGCCAGTGTTACGGTAGAGGTAGAGGTTAGCATTCCTGGGTCTGAACTGAGGCCAAAAGCAAGGAAGACTGTGTATGGGAGTCTGGCTCCTAATGCTTTCCCTAAGCAGCCATAGCCAAGTTTGGAAGCAAGGATGAGGATCAGATTATGCATATGGTAGCTGAATGGAATATTATCACCTGTATTCTCCATATGGGGAAAGAATATATCTGGGGGGCACAGGTGCTTATGTTGAGAGGTATGCTGGTAAATGTTTTAACAACTAGCTCTCCAAAAATGTATGCACAACATTCTTTCAAGTTTTATCTGCTTTATTAATATTTCTCCATCACCTTTTAAAGTCTAGACAATCAACAAAACAATAAATCAAGCAGAGTTTTGTGTTGACTTGCTCACACTGCAAATTAAACAGTTGCCTCTGGTGAATGTCTTTGAGCAGCTCCATCATACCCTTGTTTATATCCCGGAACTTGGGATGTGAGATCAATGGCGATCAATGGGGTCACTGACTTCACAAGTCATGAGACTTCAACTGAC